TGGCTGAGCAGCGCTCCCCCTGTGGGAGCGCACTCACCACCAGTGAGCAGCTCCTGCATTGAGCGTCTGCCCCCTGGTGGTCAGTGTGTGTCATAGCGACTGGTTGTTCTGCAGTTCAGTCGATTTGCATATTACCCTTTTATTATATAAGATTAGAAGTGGGAGGCTACTTGTATATTGAAAAGAATGTCACAGTGGGCTGTCAATGGTGGTAGGGTGGGGGGCACCTTCTCTGACTTTTTCCTCTCCTGTCACATTTACATCTTTGATGATCATGTGTGATTTGTATAATAAAAAACAATGCACATCTGACGGATGTGCCGGAGGAGGCAGGTGACCTGCCCAAGGTTGACAGCACATGAGCACCAGAGGCTCTGGGTCTCCTGATGCCATGGCTCCCGCTGCCCCCAAAGAGTCCCTCCTCCAAAGAAGCCCTGAGCTTACCACTTGCTGCCACCTGTGGGGTTGTGACCCCATCCCCCGCACTCTTGGCTGGGAGCGGCCCACATACAAGGAATTGGCAGCAGTGGTGGGGCCTCCCCAGCCCCATCTCCAGGGGCTGCTAGCCAGTACCTGTGTCAGCTTGTCTGCTTGCCTAGGGATGGGGAGGGGATCTTGGGAGGGAATCCACCCACCCACCCTCAGTCCCTGGAAGCCAGCTTCCCTTGCTGGAGATTGGCCTTGACCAAGGGCACTGTGGAGTTTTCGCCATCGTCAGGATGACTTCCGACCCCTGGCTCCTGCCTTGGTGTCTGGCATGCCTGGCCTCCTCCCGCAGCTTTTATTCCTTGGCAGCTAAGGCTGGTTGGGCTGATTCTCGGGGGGCCCTGGGAAGGGCACAGATCTGAGCATTCTCAGAGGGTATCATCCTGCCCAGGAAAGTCTTCTAAGCTCCGAAGCCATACAAGGCATACGTTTGCCTGGTTCACACGGTCTAACTAAGTGCCTGGCACACAGCAGTTGCTCAATAAAAGTTTGCCGAATCAGTGGATGGGCTGTGAGAACCCAGGTGCCATCTCCAGTCCTTCTAGAGCTCAGTCTGACCCGGGGCTGTCCCTGTCCCCACCCCTGAGACTCTTGTCCCACCGTAACATGATGTGCGTCCGTCTCTAGGACCTGAAGTGACCCAGCCCCTGGAGGGACCACCAGCCTTATTTTCAGAACAAGGGGCTGGGAGAACAGAGGCCAGCTTTATCTAAGGGATGTAGAGCAAGCGGCTGCAGAGACGTGCAGGGGATCTCCACACTTCTGCTCTCGGGCCACCTTTCTAGCAGTTTCGCCCGCTTCCACATCCCCAAGGATTTGACTCCTCCATGGCTCCCAAGGCCAGCGACCTTGCTCTTCTGCTTCTCCGTCCAGCACGTGGCGGGATGCACGTGAAGAGATGCGGTTTCCTCCTGTAACAACTTGCCACAATAAAAATCAGAGCTTTAGGTTGACAATGATGTGATGGGCCATAAAGTTCCTCCACGGGAGACCCGGGGGCTGAGAAGACTTGCCCAAGGTCACCAAGAGACAACGGCAGACATTCGGCCAGGATGCAGGAGCTGGTCTGTCTGCAGAGGTCAGCCAACGCGAGGGCCAGCTCGCATGACTCGGCTTGGGAACCAGAGGGACCCTGTTGGGAGCCACCCATCACATACCAGAACCCCCGCATGGGCTCAGTCAGAGCCCAATTACTGCTGGGAGAGGCATGATGCTCTCGTAATGAAGTCATATCTATCGCAAGGATCCTGAAGCGACCTAACTGTGAAATAATTACATGTGCCTCAGAACTGGGAGATCAAGGATTCCTATCCAACATCCCGTGATGCTCTTAAAAATAGGTTTCACTATAAACTGCAGGTGGGGTGGGGAGAGGCAAGATTTCCGAGCCAGGACACCGTGTTTTAATTCCACCTTTTATGTTTTGGCATCATCTCCTCTGTGCGTATCCATCTCTCTGTAGACATTAAAACAACATTAAAGGAGATTAGAAGAGTAAGGACTGTCATCCATACTCGGAGTGCTATAACTCAATTGCACCCACATGCGTGTGTCTCCTTGTTTAATTACACATGCAAGGCGTAAATGCACGCTCGCTGTCAGAGATGAACACTGTGGTCCGCAAAAGTGTGAGGCCCACACCATCCCTCTGAGTTCTTCTGTCTTCCCCCAACGTAGTGTATCTTTCCAGGACTTCTCTCTGGTTTAGAGCTAAGTATTCACGTGTAACTATATATTAGTGTGTGAATAAAACACACGAGCAGGTAGTGTTTATTTTAAACATTAATGGGATCATATTATGTATTGTTCTGGAATTTGTTTTTCTCCTCCTTTTAACAGGTCTTAAAGACCTTTCCATGATACTGAAAATGGAGCCACCTCCATTTTTTTTAAATAGCTGTACAGTTTTCTGTATAGCATCGTAATGATTTTATATCAATCTCCCATTAAGGGACACTTAGATCACTTCCAATTTTTCAATATTACAAATAGTGGATACACACACACACACACACACACAATCTTAAGCTTCCTGCCTCTCTTAACTGGCTGATGACTCTTTAAAAAAAAAAAATATATATATATATATATATATATTTCAGAGAGGAAGGGAGAAGGAGAGAAATAGAAGCATCAATGATAACAGAAAATCATTGGCTGCCCCCTGCACACCCCACACTGGGGATCAAGCCCGAAACCCTGGCATGTGCCCTGACTGGGAATCGAACCATGACCTCCTGGCTCATAGGGCGATGCTCAACCACTGAGCCACACCAGCCAGGCCTGATGAATCTTTTTATTTATGTCAGCAGATGTCCTACTGGGGAATGCCAGCTCCGCAGGACAGAGGTTGTGTCTGTTCTCTTCACCGCTCTGTGCCAGAACAGTGCCTGCTCAGCGTACGTGCGCAGTAATATTGGTTGAATGACTACTTGGTCAGCAAGGGGAGAACATAGCTGAAAACCATTCTAGCGATGCATGCTTGTCTGAAGCCTGCACTTTACACAGGAGTTTCTATACCCTCATTGCATTCTACCCTCAGAACAATGGTGTGAGGTTATTAGATCCCGCATCGTTATTACCCCCGACTCACTGGTGAGAACAGCATCAGGAGGGAAAACAGGAGAGTTTATGTCTGGGCACATTCAATAACCGTTGTCTAGTTTCCCAACTAGTCCTCCAAGGCAAGGACCGTAATTCACCAAATCTTTAACCCTGTTAATTGCAGGTCAATTGCAAATTTCCTTACAAATGGTAAATGCACAAAACGGGCTGAATGAATGAGTCTGTGGCTTTAGGTGGTCCGATACCTCTGGGGGCACAGGGCCTCCTCCCCACTCTGCTTTCGAGAGCAACCGCGCGGTCCCCAGTCACCTCCACCACGTGGTGACCCGTGTGGAGAATGGCCTTTTCTTTCTTCCCCAGGGGTGGGTGATGCTTTTTCCTCTCTCGCTGCTGGGTCAAACCACCTGTGACACTCCTTCTCCTACGTTTCTGTACCTTCTAAGTTTTCTTTCCTGTTCTCTTTGGAATTGCGGGTCTTGCCCACCTCGACTCCCTTCAAATAAGGTGAAAAGTCAAAAACGAACAACCAGCCCCAAGCATGACGGAGAAGTCAAACTCATGCCCTGACCGCAGTGAAAAGGGAAGACGTACAATTCCAAGTGGAATCAGATCAAGGGCCCTTCCCCTTCCATGGGCCCCATGACCCCTTAGGGTCTCTCTATAGGTCTTAATCTAATTCCTTATCCCATCAGCTCTCAGGGCTTCGAAAACGTGTTTGTTTTCCTTTGCCAACAAGCATTCACTCTATTTTTCTGTTTTATTATAACAACCTCGATCACAACACCTATGTGATTTTATTGCACTTATTTATTTACAAGATAGTCTTTTCAACAGTGAGCTGCTTGAGGGAAAAATATCATGAGGTACTTTTCATTTTTAAATCCCAAATGCCAATATAATGCCTGGCAGCAGAAAGCTGGTATATTGTTTTTTATGGGGGAGGGGGAGAGAGGAGATTTAGTTTCCTCCCATTTTTCCATGGCACGCAACCACAATAATTCAATACACTTATGTTCCTACCAAGCTTAAAATTCTGTATTTTATGAGTAGGCATGTAATAGATTTTTGGGGGAGGACAAATCTGGAACCTTGACCATTATTTATAACACTAGAGGCCTGGTGCGCAAAATTTCGTGCACTGCGGGGGGGGGGGGGGCATGTCCCTCAGCCTGGCCTGCACCCTCTCGCAGTCCAGGACCTCTGGCTCCTTACTGCCTGCCTGCAGCAGAGGTGGGAGAGGTTCCCACCACCACTGCTACGCTCACCAGCCCTGAGCCTGGCTTCTGGCTGAGCGGCGCTCCCCCTGTGGGAGCGCACTAACCACCAGTTTCTTAAGAAAGAAACTTTTGGGGTATCATCTTTATGAAAGTTAAGACCTTTGATCATCCTTCCTGACTCAAGCTCAGATTCTTGTTAGGCTCCCAGGCACCCCCACCCCTATCAGAAAATGCAGTGCATTGAAAAAAAGAGTCTGGCAGATGGTGAGCCCAGCAGGGTCTTAAGATTGCATTGCCTTCTCAGGGACCAGCCCTCTTGGATTTAACGACAGGCCTGCAAAGGGTGTTGGGTGCTGGGAGAAGCTGGTGTACTGGGGGTGGGGCTGGGTGGGGGGAAGCCTGGTATCTCTTTCTGTAAAATTCTAGGTATTGTGTGTGGCTTGTCTTTTCCTTCTTCTTCTTAGGTCTTTTGCTATAATATTTGTTCAAGATTCTTTTTTTATTGAGATATAAAAATTTATAGTAAAACACATAGGTCTTAAGTCCAGTGAGTTTTGGCAGTTGTATACATCTGTGTTACCATCACCCAAGTCAAGATATAGAGCATTTTTAGCCTCCCCCTCCCCCCAAATTCCCTGGCTCACCCAGAGCCCTCTTTCCAGTCAATCCTCTCCCAGGGCAACCACTGTTCTAAATTCAGTCACAAGCTTCATATAAACAGAATCACGCATAGCCTGTTTCCCTTCCTTTATTTACTAGAACAATGATAACAAAAAGGTATAGACATAATCTAATTTCTTTTCTAAGATGTGGGAATTTAAGTGATCATTACTTTTTTCATATCTGGTCTAATATAAACAATAGATACATATAATTTTATAATAGTGAGACAAAAATAAAGGTGTGGTGTTTTTTTTCATGGAGGGAGGGGATGTGGCTCTTGTGGAAAGTGAATAAGTGAGGGCAAGGCACTTGGTCCCATCAGCTCAAGGTCAAAGACTCCTCAAGGCACTTCCTGTCTGGATTCTTGGTTATACTTTTGGATATGGAACCCTTTGACCAAAGGATTCCTCCAACCTCAAGCTCTTCCCCTTGGATCTTAGCAAAGAAGAAACATCATCTAAAGCCAGGGTTAAAAATTCTATTAAAATCATGAAAAAATACACATGATTAAACTTTAAACTTTTGATCCCACGTTTGGATTTTAGTGAGGTGCATAAAGCAAATGGTTATAGAGCAGAATCTACAATTGCAGATAAAATCTACATATACTCTATGGTCTCTGACTATATCATGTGAACACAGATAAGGGGCAACTTCTTGTTCTGTTTCCTTTATGGCTCCGCCACACAGCTGGGTGCCTACATGGAGAAAGAATGGGTTATAAGAGAGGCATAAAGCGAAAGTTTTGAATCCTGAAATAATATTTGCAGAAACACTTTAAACAAAGAGAAAACAACCTAGCAATTTCACAACAGAAGGCAAGGCCTAACTCCGTTGGTTAAATGGTCCCATATGTGGTGTCTGCAGAGCCCGAAGGCTTCGAATGGGCCTGCCTGGGGCTGGTGCCAGGGCTCTGGGTGAGCTGGCTGGGCAGTGAACACATTGTTTAACCTCACTGAGCCCGTTTCTGCCTCTCTAATCTGGGGTATTAATGGCAATCTCCATCTCACTGGGTTGGTCGGAGAGGTGACGAAAGTGAAGTGTGAGCAAGGCCTTTGTAAACCATACACACTCCCTGATGCCAACTGTGTACGATCACTTCTGGGCGGGAATAAATGCCCGGCAAGAATGTGGGATCCTAGGCTCTATATCCTACAGTTTTTGACTTGTGGGGGGACTTAGCAAAGTTTTATCTCTTGCTTCACCCTTTGGACTCCAACTTCCTCACTGGGGCAAAGGAGGTATTTTAAAGGAAATAAGAGGTGGGGGCATGGGGCGGGGGTGTTGGAGTCCGACAGACCTGGGTTGGAATCCAGATTCCCACACTTCCTAGCTGTGTGTGTGTGGCCTTGGGTGAACCCCTTAACATGTCAGAGCCTCAGTTTTCTCATCCGGAAAGTGGAAATGGACATACCTTAATGGATGGCTGGGAGGACAGGATGAGATAGACCCTTAAACAGGCACGTAGCACAGTACCTGGGACAGGTGCCATCCATGATAGGAAAGGTGTGTCACTCATGCAAGATGCCCTGGGGACGAATGAGCACCTCGCTCCCAGGACCCCTCAGCAGTAGCCCCTTAAAACCGGGATCATGGGGGCTCAGAGCAGGGGCAGAAATATGGAACTCCCACGCTAACACAATTAGAATAAAGTTTTCAGCCACCGGGCACAGGCAAGATGGATCACCTGGATGGGGAAAACACGGCAGACGGGCCAGATGTGCCAAGGCCGATCTGGGGGGGATGCACACCCACATGGTTGGCGCTGGGATCCGCTCTGCGTCTGAAGGGCTTGGCATCCTGTGTGTGTTCAGATGCCTCCCTTGCAGCCAGGCCAGGAGGCTGCCGCCACGGGGGAAGGGGAGGGGTCGGCAGTTCGTCTTTGCAGAGCGTCTGGGAGCCCCATCCCTGGACAGGGCAGGGAGGGCGCAGCCTGCATTCTTCATCAAAGTCCACAAAAACCTTTAGCGGAGCCTGAGGATCCGACTAGATCAGGGGCGGGCTTGGGGTCTCGTTGAATCTGGGGTTTTGCTGCAAGTGGGGAGCCCAAACCTCCTGGTGAGATTTTAGCCAAATTTCACTGCTTTGTTCTGCCAATGTTCCCCCGGTAGCCATTGGGAGGGGCTACTGCAAGAAATAAACAGTCCACAGCACCCTGGCGGTCTCCGGCCCCTCTTCCCCTTCCCGAGGTCTTTCTTGCGCCCCTCCCCACCCCAATTTCCCTTCCTGACTCCCAGGCCTCCGAAGCAGCGCCTTCTGTGTATCGGTTTGTAAGATTGGTTATGTCTCACTTCTGATCTTTAGTGAGCCACACCTGACTACGATCCCAACCTCCCCTTTTATCTTTTGTCCTCCCTAAGTGGTATCTCTATGCGGCTCCGGTCTTGTAAAAGCGCCATAGCCCAAGGACATTCTGAAATCGCGACTTGGTTATACCGGCCCATCTGGCACCTGCCGTCGATGGAGCGCCCCGCTGCCGGCTCACTTTAGCTCTGTGTCGGTATTAGGAGCGGATTGGAGTTGGGACCCCCTGATCTGCAGGCGCTCCGAGCCCCGCACAGCACCCCCCCCCCCGGGCGTGGGGTCAGGAGGGCGGGCAGCTGGAGCCAGGACCCTCCGGAGCCCGGAGCCGGAGCGCTACTGCGCCCGCATCGGCGCGGAGGCCGGAGCCCGCCAGCGCGGCGTCTGCAGCCCAGAACGCGGGGCGAAAGGCCTCGCTGCTCTCCCAGACGCCCCGGCGGAGCATATGCTGCGCTCCCAGATTCATTTTTAATTCATGGCACCAGTTTCGGGACCGTCCCAGGCTCTAAACAGCCGCTCTCAAAACCAAAACAACCAGCACCGCGCCGGCGAGGAGGGGAGGCGGCGCCGGCCCGGAGCGGAGCGCGGTCTCCTCTGTCCCCGGGGAGCGGGCATTTGGAAACAAGGTTTCAGGGGGACCTGCTGTCCCTTTCCGCCCAGTGACCGCCCCCCGCCTTCCCCTGGTGCCGAAAGTGGACTCCCGGGTATTTGTTCTAAAGACATCGCCGATGTGACAGTGGTTTCGATTAGGAGTTTATAACGTTGCGTTCAAACGATCAAGTATGCGCTTGCAGGGAGATTAAAGGCGCCCCAAATATTTTTACACACACATATAAAAATGAAATATATGGAAATATATACCCAGAACTATATACAACATACAATACGTTAAATACGTAATATAATGCTAATGTAATAGAGGAACTAGCTGTTAAATACACGTTAACTACTCCATATGATGAAACCATATAATACATATTAGGTTAAGTAACGGACAATACAGATGGGCTCTATGTATGTCATGTATTACAGGTCACATAGACAGCAAACAGAATGACGCCCTTTGAAATAGTCAAGGTGCTGTAGGTCGGTATCACTGCGCCTCAGCTCAGCACCGGCCCCTGGGAAGAAGGAGGGGGGCGCACAAGGGTTCCCCCCAGGCTGTTGCCTGCCAGGCGAGTCCCTGCCCCTTCCCAGGTCCCCACACGCCCACGTGTCTCGGGGTGGATGTGAAGTTTCCTAAAGGCCGGCTCGCCTCGGAGAGTCAGCAGATGATCTGTTCCTTACAGAGGTCACGCTCCAGGGGGGTAGGGCCCGCCCGCACCCTCCCCGCGCGCACCCGCACCGCCAGCCCCGAGCTGCCGGCCGGTCATGGGAGCCGAAAGCCGAAAGCGGAGGGGGTCTGTCTCCCATACATAAAGCCCTTTTTCCATCGCGGGCATTGAGAGGCCATTTGGAAACTGAAAGGAATCTTTCTATGCGAGACTTCTTGACCGCCGCCGCCCAGGCCCGTCAGAGCTGCGGCTAGAAGGCGGTTAGGAAGCCCGCGGAGGGGCTGCAAGGGGATCCCAGCAACAGCAAAAGGCACAGGGAGCCACGGCTGGTCACCGCACACCCGCCGGTCATGGGAACACGGCTGCGTGCGTTTACTCTCCTTCCCACGCCGGGGAGACGGGAAAACCGCCTCGACAGAGAAGTCACCCTAACGAATGACATCGTTCGAAAGGGGGAACTCTCCGTGGCCGACGCTGGCTTTGGGGCGAACTGAAACCGCGTGCGTGTGGCTTCTCCAGAGGTGCCCAGAAGCGGAGCCGCACACTAATTGTCTGGAAAATGGGGCGCGTGTGCAACGAGCGCTCTTGTCCAGGGGGGAGGCTCAGTGCCCTCCTCGGGGCGGCCGGCGGGCCCCAGACCCTCTCCGGACCCGCAGTTGTGCGTGAGAGGCCGGGCGCACGCGGCGGGGAGCGCCGGCTTGCCGGGCCGCAGTCCGTGGCCGGAGCGCGCGCGGCCGGGATATTTTGCAGTCTCTTTAGCTCTCCATTTCTGGCTCCCTTCCCT